ACTTTAACACATCGACACTTTATACCTACGAAACCATATTAGCAGCAGTCTTCCGCCGTTACTCCCAAATCTAAACGATCAATCAAATCTTACCAAACAATTACAATACTTTGAACACTCTGTCATTACAAAACTCTGTACATCAGGACAGATTTCTAAGTCAGAGAAAACGAGACTCAAGAGCCCTATTAAAATAAGATAACCGTTTGAAATGTTCGAAATTTAAATTACGAACTTATTTAATCGTTTACTGCATCAATTGTGTGACACCAAAATAAAAATGCAAAGTGACTGGTAAATAGCACCCCGACATTTCCAAATTAGGGAGGTGGGGTTGCATTTTCACTATCGCGAATAAAATTGATATATATATATATATATATATATATATATATATATATATATATATATATATATATATATATATATATATATATATATATATATATATATATACCTATATAGACCTAATCTTGGGATGGGGTGCAAGTTTTCATGAGGTAGTGTTAGTATTGTAGGTAAACCCGTGTCCCTATATTTATGATCCAAGCGTAGGCATTGTTTACATTTAACTAACTCAGTTTAAGAAAACAAGGTCACTTGTGTTAGAACATAGGATTGGTAACGCATTGATGAAATGAAAACCTCTTATATATTTCATCAGACTTTCTTATATCCCTATGGCAACGCGCGGGGACGGGTACGCTAGTATATGCATATATATATATATATATATATATATATATATATATATATATATATATATATATATATATATATATATATATATATATACATATATATATATATATATATATATATATATAAACGGTGGTTTGTGTATGTGAGTGTGCATGTTTGATGTGTGTTTGTGTCTGTGTGCAGTGCAGTGTAGTGATTGAGTGTATGTTTGTGCGTGCATGTGAGAATGGGGAGTGGATGTGTGGGTGTGTTTCTTGTTGGATAAGCCTCCATGCCCCTCCTGAGTTCGACCCACATAGACCCACATGTTTTCCCACACAACAAGACGACACTTTTGTTTGTCATTTGTAAATATGAACTATCAATCTTCTCCAAGAGACGCCTATGCACGTCTAGCTGATTATTCTATACAATAACAGGTTAAAGATAAACATAATGAATTTACACCCTCTCCCCCTTGTCTTTTGAATTTCTTTTAGGAATCTCTTCGGATGTGCATTATCGTCTTCTATGCCCCCCCCCCTTCCCGAAACACGTCTACATCCCCCTCCCCTGGATAAAATATATATTTTGTAGTAGAAATATATAATTTTACAAGTCCCCTATCCCCTCTTCCGCCCCCCCCCTTCCGAGAAAAAACCTGAAAGAAACACTCCTTGGCTGACTCTTTACACTCACATACACATACACACGCATACGCACACACACATATACTCATACCCTTACTTCACCAACACAGAGTTCTAGACCCGTTTGAAACACTAGAATTACCCAGGGTAATATAACGGCGACTGGGTTGGATTTTTTTTTTCATTCCCCCCTTTTTTTTAACCACAACAAATAATCGTTTTACCAGATTTTCCTCCCCTCTCTCGACATAAAACCCACCATATATTTATGTAACCTAGTTTCGCCACTTTTGTTTCCATTCTAAATAGTCAACGCCCTCTGTGAATCTCACTCTCCCCGCCCCACCCACCCCTCCAATTTTGTTTTTTAAGCGCTCACTTCCCACTTCTATTTACCTCCCCTTTCCCCCCCCCCCACCTTCCACAGCCCCTCCCCCTTTCGTTTCTTAGCTAATCTGTTATCTGACCTCGCCTGAAAATTTAGCAGACGCCAGGGGCCGCCCGAGACTGGGTGCCCCAGAATCCAGAAATTTGCCAAACTCTACCGTCAGCTTCCTCTCGAATCACGCACCCAACCACAACATCAACATTACACCTCCACCGTCTTACATCAACAACATGTTGTAGTTTATCTTAAATCTCTACTCTCTTGGCTGATGTGTTTAAATTAAGCCTTAAAGTTCACATTAAATGTGACGTTTATTATACAACACTACATAATTTTGAACTAATTTATGATAACGTTTTTTTTAGTATGCAACCAACAATACATTTTCACAATTTTATATCAACAACAATCTCAAATCTCTACCCTCTTACGGGCTTGTCTGTCGTGTTTAAATTCAGCCTTAGAGTTCACATTAAGTGTTGTGTCTATTATACAACACAATATAATCTAGAACCAATTTTGCGCTAACGTTTTGTTAGTGTACATCAATATTACATCTTCACAATTTTATATCAACAACATATTGCACGTTATCTCAAATCTCTACCTTCTAGATGCCAGTCTGTTGTTTTTAAATTAAGCCTTAAAGTTCACATTAAGTGTGGTGTCTATTATACAAGTATACAAGACAACAAAATTGTGAACTAATTTTGCAATAACGTGCTTTTTATTTGGCACATCAATATTACTCTATCGACATTTTATATCAACATTTCATATTTTATGTAACATATCTACACCCTAGAACCTAGTTTGCTGTGTTTAAATTAAGCCATAAAGTTCACATTAAGTGTGGTGTCTTTTATACAACATCCTTTAATTTTGAACTAATTTTGTGATAACGTGTTTTTTTTTTTAGTATTTGGCACATCAGCATTACACCTTTACAATCTTTTATCAACATCTTATAGTTTATTTAACATATAGAATCTAGTCAGTTGTGTTTAAATTAAGCCTTATTCATGTGAAATGTGGCTTCTATTATACAACACAATATAATTTAGAACCAATTTTGCGATAACGTTTTTTTTTAGTGTGCACACTAACATTACAATTTCACTATCTTACATCAACATCTTATAATTTATCTAACATGTCTATCCCCTAGAAGCTAGTCTGCTGTGTTTGAATGAAACCATAAAGTTCGCATTAAATGTGGTTTCCGTTATACAAAATTACCTCATTTAGATCTATTTTGCGATACCGTGTTTTTAAGTTGGTATCGATTCTATAACACGTTATGTGAAAAGATACCCTTATGTTGACTTAACCTTTAACAAAAACCCCAAACCTGCACACAAAATTAATTCTAGCCCGAGCCCTATCCATAGTTTAAAAAAAACCTGCCAGATAGGCCGAGAAAATATATCACGTGGCGATTACGTAGAAGGCAGCCCCTCCCCCTCCTTTCCTACATTCCGGTATGCTCACAAAGATGTATTTATCTTTAGAAAGATCTTAGCTGTACTTAATGAGCATGGTGTGGTATATCTATAGAGTATACAGCAGACCACACCTACTGTACCATATTACGGTTAACCATCTCTTGCTGCAATCAGTATCAAATGCACTAACTATTTAAGAACTTACCTCACTTTTAAATAATATTGTAGCGGTAATGAATTAAGACAAAACTTCACTTTAAGAGAATATTTGAAGCACTCATGAATTAAGACAACCCCAAAGAGACCGTCACTTTCTATCACCATATTCTCGTAAACCACCGACCCAAGGGACCACCACTCACAATATTTCTAACAACCACAATCTCACACACCGTAAAATCAAAGGACCATAACTCACGATAGATACGTTGCTCAAAGATAAGTTACGTTAATAACCTCTAATTTCAATACCAGTTAGGTAGGTACAAAGTAACGTAGTGTAGTCAGTGGCGTCGCTAGGTCGGGTGTCATCCCCCCAATAGTCACCCCCCCCCCCCAATAGTAATGTCACCCCCCCCCCCATGTTAAAGACTTTATGGCATTTATTTATTTTAAGATTTCAAAGGTTTTTGGTGTGTATTTTTAACAATTAAAAAAATCAATTATAAAAATAATTTTTTTTTTAAATTATCAATTCCGCTTTACGTTTCTAGTACAATGATTGTAAAACCCTATTTGATTTAAGTGATGGTTACAAATAGTTAAAGAAGGGGAATAAATCCGAAATATAGTCTATAATAGATGTCTGTGTTCAGCGAAGGCGTTGAGTGCTCTGTCGTGAACAAAGTGTGATGTGACTGCTGACGCTAGCAGAAATATTCAGTTAAAAAAAAGTTCCCTCTAAATTGTGTGAGAAAGTTGGCGGTGGAGGGAACTTGATACCCTTAAGCTGGGAGACGTGTCACACTCATAATGTAGGAGAAAATGTTGAGTGCGTTTTTATACTGCGAGAACTGCTAAAGTTGATCATGCCAGCTTTGTTTTACAGCGTAAGAGAAAGGAAAAAAAAATTAACGCCTTTTGAGAAAATATTTGTGGTTTTATAGTTACAAGATTGTTTCAAATACCAAGATTTAGAATTTAAAAGAAAATAGAAGAGTTCTATTTGAATCCACCCAATCAATTGCATTTTATTTTTTGCTTGCAAACTTTTATCCAATCAGCTTTGAGTACATCATATTTAATTTAGTTAAAATAATATTTTAAAAACGCTTAAGCAGTTTTCTTTAATAGAGTTTGAATGATAATTTATCAATCATTTTAAATATTACAAATTAATATAGTTTTATTTATTTGTTCCTGTGTTTCTCAAACATGTATAGAATCTCCATATGGAACTATTCTGTTTGTTTTTTGTTTAGACGAATACAAATATTTTATCCAATTATACACGTCTTGGTTTTGTTATTTTTGTTTTCTTTTTCAATTTTCTTGCAATAGTTTTCTAAATTATAAACGCATATAGGTCACTTATAAATAATGTTACGCACACATACACACACACACACATATATATATATATATATATATATATATATATATATATATATATATATATATATATATATATATATATATATATATATATATATATATATATATATATATATATATATATATGCAATCTATAAACAAACCCGAAAACCCATAACATTTCAACATAAAGTGAGTTCTCTCCCCTAACCCCCTTTATTTATCTCGCGTTATCTGCCCTTGCACCGAGTGGCAACAGGCTCGGAACGCGAGAGAGCGAGCATCCCCTGGAGCTCCATTAGTGTGACGGTAACAGCCCCACGGAGCAGCAGCTAGCTTGGGTGCTGTAGGGATGTAAGGCACACATCGGACTTTGTTTTGTTTTTTCCTGTGACTTCATTCACCTATTTCAGCGAAAAATTTTTGAAAGGGATTACGTCGGAACAACGACGGACGGAGAGAGAATTTGAATTTGTTTTAAATTTTTAAAACAGGAGTTGACCGTTGAGAGGGAGGGGAGGCTTCAAAGAGATGGTCAGCGTCTAGAGGAGGAGAATACCCATCCTGTGGTCAGCTAAGATGATGACGGCTAACACCCCAATGGGGGGTGCTGGACACGTCACCTCGCAACAATTGCTCAAATGTATATCTATTTTAATTATTGTTATTTCAACTTCCAACGTTATGGCGGCTAACGTCGATCTTCCTGATGGTAAGTTTCATTTATATATTTTATTTATTTATTTGTTTTATAGTAACAAAAACGAGGTTTTTTTTTTATATTTATGAATTTACTTGATAAACTCATTAGATTTAAATGTAAAAAAAAAAAATTAATTTTTCATACAATTTATTTTTTTCAAAAATTCAGATTCAAATTAATTTTAGAATTTGAAAATAAGTAACACTTACTTTTAAGCAAAAAAAAAATGAAGAAATATTTTCCCGGCATTTTCTAGTTCAGTTGGGAATTTTGCCGTATCAGCAAGAGATAAGATAAACTGTATTTTATTACCAGCTCAGCAAACACATCCCAGACGTAAGGAGCTGGAAGTTAGATTATGGTATAGAGCTGGGTCGAATCCTAGTCACACCGAGGTAGTGTACGGGAAGGTCCTTATAAATATTGATTAATTGTCTTTGATAACACTTCCATGGTTATATAAACTGAATTACACTACTTCACCTGTCATGTGGGTTTTATTTAATGTTGAACCATTAAATTTTAAACCACTCGAAATTTATTTTAGTACAACTTCGCCCGAATTTATTAGAAAAACATTTTGATGCTAGGCTAAAATATTTTCTTTTAGTATTTGTAAAAACATCATAGTTAAAAAAAAATATATCGGCAGTGATTCATTTTGGTAGCAGAATTATGATAAAGATATTCTAAAAATATAATTATGTGAAATAACTGTAACTTTCTTTACGTCAGAAATACAGCTTATTTCAAATGGTTTTCCAATTAGGTTTTTTTTTACCCTGTGATTCAATGCAAAAATATATATATCACTCATACTCCACCATTAGTACCCAAACAACTATTCACCACAATATTATTATACTTCCCCACATCATCACTCCCTACACTACTACTCCACACATCATCATTCCCTACACTACTCCCCCACATCATCACTCCCTACACTACTCTCCCACATCATCATTCCCCTTAATTAAATTCCCCACATCATCACTCCCTACACTACTCTCCCACATCATCATTCCCCTTAATTAAATTCCCCACATCATCACTCCCTACACTACTCTCCCACATCATCATTCCCCTTAATTAAATTCCCCACATCATCACTCCCTACACTACTACTCCACACATCATCCCTCCCTACACTACCCACTAACATCATCACTCCCTACACTACTTCCCCACATCATCACTCCCTACTCTACTCCCCCACATCATCACTCCCTACACTACTCCCCAACATCATCACTCCCTACACTACTCCCCCCACATCATTACTCCCCTCACCGCTACTCCCAACGTATCACTACCCACTCTACAACACCAACAATAATCACACCAATATTTCCAAACACCCCATGCACTTTTCACCACCAAACCTTAACCACTAACCACACCCCAAAGCACCCTTCCCTGACATCATAACTTAACCCCCACCCATTCCCTTATCCCCCCCCCCACTTCACAATCTCTCACACCCCTTATCACACACCAACAACAATTTTAAAAAAAAAATATTTTGAAAAAAAAATAGCTTTGAACATTAAAATCATCCACTGGGGAGTTACAGTAAAAAAAAATTGTGAATTTTAAACACGTCAGCTAAATTCTGTGCCACGTATACAAGAAGAAAGGGGCGAGTAACTCTTACCCCACACTTTCTATCCGCCCACCTAGTACAGCTCTCCTGTCTGCCGCGCCGAGCTCTTATAGTTAGAAGTTTAAATAAATATTAGCCATTGACCTTTGACCGCGATATTCTTTCTTCCTTCCCCCTCCCTTCAGACTAAATCAGCGGATCTCAAACTTTATTTTTTCGTATGCCTTATGACTTGGCTTTTATGATTGTTATAGTCTCATCTCAACCATTATTTTAAAAGCTAAACTTTTGCTGTGTTCCCGAGTAGTATTCATAAGGTGACCAGAGCCGATATAGATAAATCTCACTGCCCCTTCTTTCTTGGGTGCCCTCCAAAAGAATTTTTTTTAAACCGTGGTGGAAATTTTCTTACCAAATTTATTTTTTTATCATTTAAACATATTTTTTTTAATCGTGTTGGAGGCTGATTTATCTTTCCACTACAATTATAAACTCACTTTTTTATTTGCAAAATAATTTTTCAAGACAGCAAATATTTGTCACCAAAATGTAATACATGTACTTATAAAGGGACCCATATCAAAATAGCTTAGGGTCATCAAATCTATATACGTCTTCTATATACGTCTGATAGTGGTTAATGCTCAAATGACTCAAATTTACTCAGTACCATTTAGAATTTAACCTTTCTCTAAAAAAGAATCTTACCAGACTTCTGGTTAAAATAAATAACACAAAAACTATACATATAACATTAGCTTGTTATGAATAGTTTAAACTAGTATACATGATAATACATGTACATATATATATATATATATATATATATATATATATATATATATATATATATATATATATATATATATATATATATATATATATATATACATGGCTGTAAGT